CTGAACTGAGGGAAAGGGAGCTGGGGGATGGCTCAGAGATACTTCCAGCGAAAACAGTGGTGAGGTTTCCGGACCTCCTGTAGCGACACCCACTCCTCGCCGGAAACTGTCACGCAGAGAGTCCAGAAGACGTGTTTCCGTTAAGGAGCTTTTATGTTGGAAGCGATCACGAAAGCAACCACTGTCGGAATCTTCTAGTGACTAAGAGGAGCCATGTCAGAGGGGCTCAGTCACAGACAGAGGTTTGTGGACTTGAACAAACTCTGAGGGAATACGATTTTACGCACAAGCAGCTCATAATCCCATCACAACTATGTATAGAAATATTGTAAAAATAATGACTGTTAGAAAAATGTTGGAATGAAGTTATATGGCTTTAGTAGAAATGTTATAAGGAATTAAGTATAAATAGAAATAGAGTATTAAAGGGAAAAATAAGATTAGAATATGTTAAGATAATTATAGGATAGAAAACAGAGGAAGATGGAAAGGAGTTGCTGAAACAATTAATAGAAGTGGAATACAGAAAGGGAGGCGTGAGGAGGTATTGGAAATAAGGGAATGAAAGTTAAGATATTGAAATTGTTTTTGTGTTTTAAATGGTTTGCGTCTTGTTTTGTTAATCTTATGTTTTTTCTCTCTTTTTTTTCTTTGCTTTTTCTTTTTTGTTTTTTCTGCTTTATTGTGTTCAAATGGTTGGAAAATCAATAAATATTATTATTTATTTATTTTTTAAAAAAAGGAGATGAAATGAAACCACATGACTTTTTTGCATTATTAATTGCTATAGAGTCATACTGGGAACAAATGGAGCTATGTCATTTTCATCTGAAACATTCCTGATCACTTGGCTGTATCATTTCCCCAAAGTGTTATATTTTATAATGTTAAGGCCTGAATATAACTCTGGAGCGCAATTTTTATGCAAACTGGTGTGATCTAAATTTAGGATATTTTCTTCATAAATTTATTCTCTAATCATGGTTGAAGGTGAAACTAATATATTTCACATTCTGTATGAAATACATTTTGAACCCTCTTATTTAGTTATTATTGAACTAAACTTAAAACAGCAATGCAATGTTTCCAGCCTGTCATTACCACACCAGTCAAGTGCTTTGTCCTGGGCCTGTGGCCAGCTGATGTCACTCATGAGAAGAGACAGAGGGAGTCTATCCCTCCTCTTCCATCAAGTTAGAAAGCACTGCTGGAAGCAGAAAAATGTTAAAGTTGCTCTGGTTGCAAATGGCTTGATGTCTTGAATTAATAAATATTCCACCTCAGTCCTGGTTTCATGTCTTCCTTCCTGGGCAAATGCCTTTTATCTACAGTCCTGTTCACTCTTTGTTAAGTATAATTGTTTAATTGGCACTGAAATGAAGAACGGTGATGTGTATTACTGAAAGGGTTTCACTGGAAGATTCCATTGAAGCTATAAGAACAGCAAAAAGAGCTCTCTGAGCTCCTTGATAGGTTCATAATTAACTGTTGTTGTTCTCCAGCAGCAATCATGTGAGTGATTAACCCTAGATTGCAAATTCACCACCTTGTTAGGGTGGCAGCTGAGACATTGTTCTCAGGCTCTGTGAGAGTGAGGTGTCTTCCAGGAACTCAACAGACTTAGGGGCTAATGTAGCCTGTATAAGAGAGAGCAATGCTTGTCAGATCTAATGTTATTTTATTTTATTTCTAAGAAGATCCTGAGCCTATGTCTTATGGAACAGTTTGGATGTATCATTTACTGGTTTTTGTTCTGCTGTGAGGAAAGTTTTGCATGTAAAATTTTGAATTTTTAAAAATGGGTCTAGACACCCTTCACCCTGCCACCTCTCCACTTCCTCTCCTGTCTGCTAACTCTCCCCTTTCAGGGTCTGGAAAGTTTCATATGGAGAGAGGTGGTCCTTGATGTATTGTGGTCATGAAGCTCTTAAAGGGGAATGTGGCTCATGGACGAGAAAAAGGTTCCCCACCTCTATACTAGATGGCATCTTTGAGGATGTGGTCAGTTTCCTTCAAGTGTTTTCTTTATAACATGAGCTGAAGAACCTCCAGCCCCAAATACCTCTTCATTTGGCCCACCATTCCCACTTCCATGGCTTGGCAAATATGATATCATCATGCCAGATCTGGGAAGACTAAAGTCACCACTGGGCCAAAAATGTGTCTGCAGGTACCTTCAATCAACAGATTGGCAGTGAGGTGCTGCAAGGCACTATTCTTCCCTCAATGCTCTTCAACATT